CAAGGTGGGACAGAGCATAAGAGCTGGTAGCAGTTACCCCCTGGAGGCAGGGGCGGGTGTGTGTGATCAGGTGCAAGGTGGGACAGAGCATAAGACTGGTTACATTGGCTTTTAGGGATTAGAAACAGAGCGTAACTACACATGGCATAATCCTCGAAGCTCCACCCCAGGCGGGATTTGTAGGTGATTACAAAGGCGATTACACAGGGTGAACAAAACACTCGCCTTGAGAACAGATTGTTAAAATATGCTGTGGATGTTTTACACAATGGATTTCAAATACCATTTAAACCAAGATGACCACATCTTTATATTGTTTACCTGAACCACAGGGTAAAAAACTCAGATAGTGGTAGGGTTATGTGTAAAAAAATAACAACTTATTAAAGAAGAATTTAAGACGAGGTCTGAGACCAGGAATCTTGATCAGTCATTTGACTTTGGTCAGGTATTCTATAATTTTTGCAGCTCAGAATCGACTCTACAGCAGTTTGGCTTGGGTTATGGTAAACCTTGTCTTGAATCTTGAAGCAAACACAGGTGAAGGTGTCACAACGTTCACAATATATTCTGCGAACTAAGATGCTGTGTCATTTGGACACTGAAACCATATGAAAACCTATGGGAGCCCGCTTTCACTTCCAGTGGGTTTTGTTACCATTGCTGCTGCTGCTGCTGCTGCTGCTGCTGGTGGGGAGGTCAGAGGCTTGGAAGAAGTCCATCAATGAGATAGATGGACAAAGTGACCACAACCATGGGCTCAAACATGTCAACAGTGAGGATGGTGCACAACAGGTCAGTGTTTCATTCTGCTGTGCACGGGGGTGGACGGGACACGACAGGTCAGTGTTTCATTCTGCTGTGCACAGGGGTGGACGGGACACGACAGGTCAGTGTTTCATTCTGCTGTGCATGGGGGTGGACGGGACACGACAGGGCAGTTTCATTCTGTTGTGCACGGGGTCACTATGCATTAGAACCGATTGCACCTAACAACTGCTACAAGGCAGTTCATTGTTGGGATCCGAGCCTCCTATGTGAAATAATCTTAGAGAATAAATGGCAACGTACACATTCATAATAGCAAATTTTATAAGCTACAAAGGCTGTGATTTATTTCTAAAATTTTGGAAGTCTTCAGAAACAAATTAAATGACAAGAACTTACACAAACATCGCAGTTATTCATGGAACTATACACTCAGCACATGAAGGGAGTTTGGAAGTACTTGACTCCACCCATCTCTGAAAGCTGGGGTGATTTCTGAAATATCCACATATTGGATCTTTAACTAGCCCCTTTGAAACTTTTCTAAGTTTGAAAACGTCATCTCCTAAAAATAACACAAACAGCTTGTAATCATTTGACAAAAAAGAAAGAATAAAAACATGGAGGCAGGTCTGGTATACTGTATGTCAAGTACTTTCTAGAGGAAGGTCACATCCTTGAAGCAGCTTTGCAATATGCAGAGCACAGTACTGGCTTCAGAAAAATAAAAAGGTTCTGTGCACATGCATTATTTAAATCATGAAGAGCTGCTGTCATCCTCTGCAAGCTATGTTTGTTCAAATACATTAATTGTACTTCATTTAGTTTTATGCATGGGATGAAGCTGAAACAGGAAGAAAGAAAAAAAAAAAACAGCCAACACAGACCAGTTTAACAAAAACAAAACCACAATACACTGAATATTAATTACTCTGAGATGAGACCAAGTGAAAAGGAATTCGGCATAAAAAAACACATCGCCAATTACATAAATAGGCTCTAAACTGAAATTGTGTACTGGAAGGGGTGAATGATTAAAATGACATGGGAACAGTAATGCAGGGGGATTATTTGGTTCATTTCAGAAGGTCTGCTGGTCCAAAGGCCAACACGCCAGACTCGGGGGCTTCAGCGAAGGGTGACCAGCTCCTCAGATGAGGTAGGGTGAATGGCAACGGTGTTGTCGAAGTCGGCCTTGGTGGCCCCCATTTTCACTGCCACGGCGAAACCCTGCAGCATTTCATCACAGCCGATCCCTTGCATGTGGATCCCAACCACCTGGAACACACAATGTTGGTTTCCCGGTGAAATTCTCCATCAGGGACACAGTTATGACAGGCCCCTGATTATTTTTAAGTTCCTAAAAACCCCGATGACATTTCTAATGCCAACAGGAGGTCACCTGGCCTCCGAGGCCATGGGCAGTCCCTCCCAATGTCCAGCCCCTCTCACACAGCCCTTCTGCAGGCTGTCCTGCCCTGAGCACCGCCGTGCTTCCTCCGTTACACAAACCGCTCCTGCTGGGGCACCAGCTTTCTGCTCCTCATAGTTAAGAGTTAGGCCCTAGTATTCTTCACAGAGCTACATAGTTGTTCCTTCCTGGCTAAATTTCTCTACCACGTGATCTCTCAGGACACATACTTCTTCATGGGTTTACCACAGTTCTAACTCTATAGTTATTGGTGTGGCTCAGCAATTATAGCCCACATTTCCTGGCAGACTTTAATCTCCAGGGCATGACGACCCCACTGGTGTTCCCTCGACTCTGTCTCTCCACAGCTCAGCAAAGGCCACACTTAGGGGGCCTCAATCCATACATGTTAGATGACTATGTGAATGATCATCAAGAGGCGCTCGTTTCCAATTTCATTTTCCAGCACGGTGGATCAATACATCTTAGCACTATCAGTTTATGATCTCTTTCAGCAGACACATTCAAGGTGACTATTCCACTGCAGAAGCAAAATCAGAGGACACAAAGTGCAGCTACAAAAAAAATTTGTTTAAAACCAATCTACTGTGTCTTAATACAAAACAAAAACAAAAACTAGAGCAAGTATGAACATATGCATCAAGCGCAGTGAGAACTTTAGTTCCTGTGATCTCAGGAGAACTTACACAAGCCTCTAGTGGTGGCAAGGGCCCAGTTTTCAGTCTTGAGAGACTGTAAGGCAATGCTTATCAAAATAATGAATAACTACACAGAAGAAATAACTGATTGGAAGAGATAACGAGGGGCCTTGTTGATTTCATGCTCCGAAATGTAGGCGGCTGAGGATCTTGTATCTTTCAGGACCAGAAATGTAACCTTTTTTTTACACTTTCCTTGCCTTCGCTCTGATTCTCTGCTGTCACCCCTCAGTGACACTGCACCCTATAAGGCTGGGGACGATGCCTTGCAGCTTTTGTGGTCTGGGCTACGGAACCAGACACACACTACGCTCTTTTCGATAAAAGAAGTTGTAAACTTCCATGAAGCTCAATTAAGCCTGTGTCCCTCACAGATCCACAATTGCAGGGCACACGGGTTGTTTCGCCTTCATATTTAATTCAAGTAGTAGGTACAGTACCCTGGCCTCATACAGAAACAAAACCTATCTTGAAAAGTATGAAAGAAAACCTGTTCAAATGCAAATCAAAACCGCGATAAGATACCACTTCACAACCCCGGGTTCAGAACCAAGAAGACGACACCAGGTGTAGGTGGGAATGTGGAGGGACCGGGATTCCCACACATAGCTGGTGGGAATGCGAACTGGTGCGGTCACATGGAACCAGTCTGCTGGTTCCTCAGAAAGTTAAATCAAGCACAGATCACGACACACTTCAGCAGCTTTCATGAAATAAACTTCTATTCCCACACAGACTTGCTATGTTACATTTATCTGACATAAAATCCTTACATGGACCAGTATTTCATTAGTTTTATGGCCAAAAGTGGTAGGTTCGCTGGCCAATGACAGTTTTCCACCTTTCCCCTGTACTGATCTTTCAATAGCAGGTGAATGTTCTTTCTAACTTAAATTTTCTGAAGAATCCCAACAGATAAAACAGGAACTGCACTATTTGAATCAGAAAGCTTAACTACATGTTCTCCTTCTCCCCATCCCATCAAAATACCACTCTCTATGCCAACCAGGCACTATTGAGCTTTTAAAAATTATCATAAATAAATCATTTTATTGGTGGCTCTTACAGCTCTCATAACAATCCATATATCAATTGCATCAAGCACATTTGTACATATGTTGCCTTCATCATTTTCAAAATATTTTCTGTTTGAGCCCTTGGTATCAGCTCCTCTTTTTTCCCCCTCCCTCGCCCACCCTCCTGGACTCCTAATAAATTATTATTATTTTCATATCTTACAGCGCCTGCTGTCTCCCTTCGTCCATATTATTGTTGTTTGTCCCCCTGGAAGGGAGGGATTATGCTATGCGTCACTGTAGTCGGTTCCTCCTTTCCTCCCCCTCCTCCACCACCTTCCCCTACCCTCACGGTATCGCTATTTCCATTGCTGTTCCTGAGGGGTTCATCTGTTCCTGGTTCCCAAGTGTCTACAGCTCTTCTCTGTACCAGTGTCCTTGCTCTCGTCTAGCCAGATTTGTAAGGTAGAACTGGGGTCGTGATAGTGGGGGTGGGGGAAGGGGAAGGAAGCCTAGAAGAATGTTGTGTGTTCCGTCTGTGCTGCACTGCAGCCTGTCTGTCTCATTCTTTCCTTGGGACCCTTCTATGCGGGAGTGTCCAATGATCCACAGATGGGCTTTGGGTCTCTACTCTGACCCCCATCATCTGCATCGACATATTTGTTTGTTTGGGGTCTTCGAGCTTACTGAGTTTGCCCCCTACCTTTTCTTCTTTGTTGGCACAAACCATTTTCATCACACATTTTGTTTTCCTTTTTGTAACTGCATGGTACATGGGGGTAAACATGGTGGAGTAGGTCTTCACATTTTCTTTTCCGTATTTATGAATGGCTTGGTCTATAATGCACATAAAAGAAACATCTATCAAAACCTGCACATTACACTGGGCATTCACAGAGCTAAGAGATGGCCAGAATCTGTGTTGAATCAAACCGCGAGGAAATGCAAACCAAAATCAAAAGCAAGGATATTCTACAAAGTAACTTGATGTCATGAAAGGCAATAAATGTTGATGTCATTCAGGAATGCTGTCTCTAGATCAAAAGAGGCTGAAAATACATTAAAAACTATATACAAAGCACTTGCCTTCAATTGATCTGATTGCGATTCCCGGTAACCCAATGAGATACAGAGTAGAACTGAGCTCCACAGGGTTTTCCTGGCTAATCTTTACTAAAGCGGTTCACCAAGCCCTTCTTCTGCTGCACTGCTGGTTAGGTTTAAACAACCAACTTTCAGTTTGCAGCTGAGCACAAACCATTTGTGCCACCCAGTAAGCAATTGGATACTAGACTACGAAACAAATGTTTACAAGGACATGGTTGAGATAAGCCAAATGTGAATAAGGTTTATAGTTTATATCATGCTGGATCATTTTAAATATCCCCATTTGGAAGCTGTACTGTGCTAATGTAAGGTCATGACCTTGTTATAAGGAAATAAACACTGAAGAGTGTGTGGAGAGGAGGGAGAAGAATAAAGCAAAAATGTGAAGAGTATACAGGAGTCCTTCGTTCTACTGAAATTTAGTTTTTGAAAATTAAAAATAAAATTTAAAAGACCAAGAGTAAAATGGAATACTTTTTAAGTATTAGCGATTGGAGAGAAAATGAGAACTGGGAGCAGGGTCTACCCAAAAAGGAATACAACGTAGGAGACTCTGAGACTGACCCAGCGGACAGAGGGAGTAGAAAAGAAAATGTTAAGTGACCTTTTAAAAACACCTACCTTCTGTGAGTCCCACTGTTCCAATCGGGGGGTGACTAAAGACCACAGTGGGGATGTTGTCATAGTCTAACTTGGAATCTGGTTTGCATTCAAAAAGTCTATGGGCAAGTTTTCGGCCAGCAGCAATTGCAACTGGAAAGATATTTTAAAATCAGTGTTTATCTTACGGTTCATTTTAACACATCAAAATTGTTCTATCTAGTTAGAACTAGTTCTGACATAGTCTTATACTAGTGTTCATTGTAACATCTTACTTATACTGCAGATACATTAATGCCTTAAACATTCAAAACTTTGGTTTATCTGAATTCTTTTTTTTTTAAATCATTTTATTAGGGGCTCATACAACTCTTATCACAATCCATACATACATCAATTGTGTAAAGCACATTTGTACATTCACTGCCCTCATCATTCTCAAAACATTTGCTCTCCACTTAAGCCCCTGACATCAGCTCCTCATTTTTCCCCCTCCCTCATGAACCCTTGATAATTTATAAGTTACTATTATGTCATATCTTGCACTGTCTGACGTCTCCCTTCACCCACTTTTCTGTTGTCCATCTCCCAGGGAGGAGGTTATATGTAGATCCTTGTAATCGGTTCCCTCTTTCCAACCCACCCTCCTGGTACTGCTACTCTCACCATTGGTCCTGAAGGGATCATCCGTCCTGGATTCCCTTTGTTTCTAGCTCCTACCTGTACCAGTGTACATCTTCTGGTCTAGCCAGATTTGTAAGATAGAATTGGGATCATGATGGGGGGGAGGAAGCATTTAGGAACTAGAGGAAAGTTGTATGTTTCATCGCTGCTGCATTGCACCCTGAGTGGCTCGTCTCCTCCATGAGACCCTTCTGTAAGGGATGTCCAGTGGCCTACAAATGGGCTTTGGGTCTCCACTCCGCACCGCCTCCTCATTCACAATGATATATTTTTTTGTTCTGGTGATGCCTGATACCTGATCCCTTTGACACCTCGTGATTGCATAGGCTGGTATGCTTCTTCCATGTATGCTTTGTGGCTTCTGTGCTAGATGGCCGCTTGTTTACCTTCAAGCCTTTAAGACACCAGACACTATATCTTTTGATAGCTGGGCACCATCAGCTTTCTTTTTTTTTTTCCATCAGCTTTCTTTGCAACATTTGCTTATGCACCCATTTGTTTTCAGCGATCGTATCAGGGAGGTGAGTACACAATGATATGATTTTTTGTTCTTTGATGCCTGATAACTGATCTCTTGGGCACCTTGTGATCACGCAGGCTGATGTGCTTCTTCCATATGGGCTTTGTTGTTTCTGAGCTAGATGGCCGCTTATTTACCTTCAAGCCTTTAAGATCCCAGACACTATCTTTTGATAGCCAGGCACCATCAGCTTTTTCACCACATTTGTTTATGCATGCGCTTTGTCTTCAGCAATCACATCGGGAAGGTGAGCATCATAGAATGCCAGTTTAATAGAACAAAGTATTCTTGCATTGAGGGAGTACTTGAGTGGAGGCCCAATGTCCATCTGCTACCTTAATACTAAACCTATAAATATGTGCACATAGATATATTTCCCCATCCTCATATATAAATATATTTACATATGTACATGCCTTTATTTAGACCTTTATAAATGCCCTTTGCCTCCTAGGTTTATCTGAATTCTACACATAAAAATAAAACTGAGTAGTTATGTACTTAATAAATACGTTTTTGATACAGTATTTATGGAAAAAAACTATATTAATTTTTAGCACCTTTATTTTATTTGATAACCACACTCATTTCATACTTTTTTTCTTTTTTTAATTAAATGCTTATTCTCCTTAGCCTGTTTTGTTTCCAACAATTTTATTTTCGTGTCTGGGTGCAATATAAACATCAGTTTTTTAATTTTGTTGATTTCAAACTGAAGATATTTTACCTAAGTAAAATATCAGAACACATAAATGGTCTTCAGTTTGATATATTGTCAAGTGCTATACTGTATGTATTATCCAGTTTTTGAGTCGTTTGATGGCACTAAGCTCCTCTTTAAGAGAGCGTTCCCCCCAGACTCGCCGCCTTAAGTCAGTGCTGACTCAGAGAGTCTTCAGGACAGAGTAGACTGCCTTTGGGGTCTCCTTGTGGTTCCTGTGAGTCTTTATGGGAGCAGGATCTCCTATTTCTCCCGCGGTGGTTCCAAGTACTGACCCTGCAGTTAGCAGCCCAACTCACCACCCACCAATGCCACCAGAGCTCCTTACTTTCCAGAGGAGTTAAAAGACTGGGTGTGTGACCAGGGCAGGTTGCCATCCTCAGGTAAAATACCAGGGCCATTCTGGAAAGTCTGGCAAAGGCTCAAAGGAAACAGTCAAGCCACACAAAGAAGTGATGTTGACAATGGGCAAAGAGGTGCAAGTGGCATCGATGAACTCTGGACGTGCACTGGGTGCCGGTCACACCCTGGCTCTTTCAAGACCAGTCCTACAATAGTCACTCTAAATGGCTGCTTCTCTAAAGTCAGTTCCTTCCGCCGAGACTACGTATAACGGATTCTAACTTCTACCACATCCCCTCTATGAAAACGTCAGTCGCTTTTATTGTCTGTTTGTTAGTTAACAATTTTATTGGCATATAATCCATATACAATTCAATAGTTCAATCATATTAAGAAGAGTGGTACAATCATAACAATCAATTTTAGGACATTTGTTTCATTCTGGTACTTATTGTTCTTAGCTTCCCATTTTGAAAATGTCAGTCTTTCCAAGGCATTTTTAAAAGTCCTTTAATGAAAAATGAGTATCATTCAGAAAATGCCAAGAACACACACATATATCGTAATGCCTTAAAAGAAATCATTTTGATGACTCAAAAGATACTCACCCTTTCAGCTTTGCTTCAGCAGACTTACCTGTGAAAGCTGCACAGCCCTGTCCGACACTCAGAGGGAGGGAACAGTACCTGGAGTAAGAAGCGCCTTTCCGCACACATCGCCAACCGCATAGATCCCTTTGACGCTGGTATTCTGGAAGTCATCCACGATGATATGGCCCTTGTCATCCGTCTGAATTCCCTGAAACAGGCAACGGGCGCCCTGAACACACTTGGCCCATCTGGTAAAACTGTCCGACCAATCCTTGGGATCAGCCTCATTTCACACTGGCACCGCTAGCGTCAGAATCTCCAGGAAATGTGCTCCAAGAAGCGCTAAGACTCAACTGCAAGATGAAAGCCATTTCCAGTTGGCAGGTTTCTTACCTAGGGATCTATCCATTTGACCCAGTGGGGGCGGGGATCCTCTAAGAGGATTTGACTTTGTCATGGACAAACCAGCTGTCTGGGTAAATGTGAAAAGGAAACTCAGGATTTGGGATTATAAAGAGACTTTTCCCTAGATCTGTCTCCCCCAAAGACATGCCAAACACTAGGGGCTTTTTGCTAGCATATGGGGGGAGGTCAGATGCTTACAGACATCCTCCCTGAAGGCAATCAATTGCCAGACTATGGTAGGCCCTGCTCCCTGCTGTTAAGGACAATAGGCTATTTCTCTCTAGAGGCCTGCAGTCCTTAATTTGGTTCCTGTAGGTGGAGTCTACACCCTACTGATAATGGTGCCAGGGAACAGGTCAAACTGGCTCCATGACATCCAAAGTTAAGCTGCCATCCTGAATCTAGGATCCGCCCATCTTGTCACTTGTTTACCCCCAGTCCCTCCTCTTCCTATTGTGTGTATATCCCCAGACTGTCCCCCTCTCATAGCTGTATAACCCATAGTGCAACCCCTTCCTGTGACATATGTCTTTACCTATAAGTAGTGGGCTTGCATGTCCCCAAAGATATATAGGCCTGGGTTAGCAATACAAATCTCTCTCTCGGCCCCTCCCTTCACCTCTCTTCGGCTCCCCTTCTCCTCTCCAGTCCTCACTCCCCTGTTCCCTTTCCCCTTGTCCTCCCTTCCCTTCCCCCTCTCTCCACATGACCACCAAGCAGGGCAGAGGTGAGCATTGCTACCATGAAATGTGTCTGACTCCATTATTCCACTATCTCTTGTATCTCTCATGCTCTCGGTGACTTTAATATATTTATTTATCGCAACTGTACAACTGTGCCTTTTTAACCTGTGATTAGTGGTGAGGGGCTGGCACCCCTTCCAACCACAGCTGAAGTTACACATGCAGACATTTAACTAATAAAGACATGCCACTTGCTCTCTCTGGACAGTCCACCACAGCTGAAGTTACACATGCAGACATTCAACTAATAAAGATGTGCCACTTGCTCTCTCTGGACAGTCCACCTAAGACGGTGTCTTCCTGAGCAATAATAGCTTATTCCTCTTGGAAGATGGTGGGGTGGGCAACAGACTGAGGCATAAGATTTCTCAAAAGTTCATGACTTTAATTTTTAAAATCCAAGCAAAATGTTCATTTTATTCTAAAAATGCAAATATTTCTTTTAACCAGGAGATTTTTCCTGTAAACTATTGGGGTTCAATTTTCGCTCCCAACAGTACCCTGCTTCTCTTTTGGGTTCGTATATTTTCATGTCAGAAGCTGAGATACAGGATCAGTAGGAAAGAGGTAGCAGAATGGCTAAGTGTAACCTTTGGAACGAGGCTGACCTCAGTTAAACTTCTTCTGCCACTTCCTAGTCATGAGACCTGTATTGCCACCTACCTATCAACAAATAACAGAGCGTGAATTACAAACAGCCTTAACCTGGTCACTGGGAAAACAGTGGTAAGACAGAGGAGATTACAGCCTCGTGAATTCTTCATTGCTCTGCATTATCTCTGTGCTCTTGGTTTTCCCAGCCAGGGTCATCACAGTTTATAGGCAAGACTGAATTCGGTAATAATGTGTACACGGTAATCATTCCATTTGTATTACACAAATATATCTTAACAATGAATGAAACTGATCAATTTTTTTCTCTAAAAATTCAGCAAATATAGTTAAAAACTACATCTACCATTGCCTACACTTGTACAAAGGCAAACATCTTGAGAAAGGTACAAAGCTGTCTGGTCTAACTAATATGAAGACAGGCCATTAGGTTTTTACCTGAATGTCACTGAACAAGAGTAAAAGCAAGTCAAGTAGCTCCCTGAGTACTCTAGTCTTCAAAAACGCTAAAAAATAACTTCTTACGGATGTGCAAAAGGAATCCAGATGATAAAAGACATTATTAAAACATAAATGAAAAGGTTACAGATTGCTCAAGATGTGAAAACCTCAAACATAAAAGATAGTCTATTAGAACTAGCAGTCGAACAGCATATCAGAAAAAGCATCATCATCCTTAGGAGCAGCAGCGGCAGCAGGTTCACACGCTCTTTCTCACAGACTCTCTTCCATAACTCAATGAGGCAAGAAATATTTTCAGTTCCAAATTCCATATGATGCAATTGAAACATGAAGATAAAGCTGCTTGCTCCAGGCCATGCGATTCGTACGTAGCACAACGAACGTTCAGACATGGGCCAGTCTCTGGGGACATGCCACAAGCTGGTACAGTAGATTTCATTTCAAAATTTTTAAGTTCAGATAAGAATGCTACCTGTTTGCATATACAGAAAAGGCAAAGCTAATCTTTATTGAACTTCAGAGACAAGTATGAAAACTAAAGTTAGAAAGCTAGTTAGAAAACTGCTAGACAATCTAGATTAGAGGTAAAACACATGCTCTAGCGTGAGGACACTAGAGAGGAAAAAAGTTTATACTTTACTCTCAAAGAGAGATGCAATGGGATTTTAAGATAAACTGAATATATGGACTGATAAGAACAGAATCCAATATAACGCACCTATAATTTTGAGTGTGTCAAGGTGAAAATAATCACAGGGCCACTAAGATTTAAGAATGTTATGGGCAAAAAAAAGAAAATAAAGAAAAATGTTATGGGAATTTAACCCAGTTTACCACAAACAGCTAAAAAAAGAAGAATGTTTACCACAGACTAAGTCACCTTACAACCTTGAATCCTACCAGAAGTTAGAGAACATCTCAAGAATAAAGGGTAAGTGCACATCAAGAAAACATCCCAACCCAGTGCTGCCCAAGCCCACAAGTCCAACATTAACCCATATGTCTGACACCAATCCACAAAGTCCTCCTCCATCTCACAAAACACACACTATGAAACCGAATGCAGGAGGAAAGCCGAGTCAGTGAATGTTTAAGCATCTCAGCGCTAGCAGGGGTCTCCACACGGCTGTTCTAGCACCCAGGGCTGAATCGGGGTAGGTCCGTGCGGCTTCTCCTTGGGGATGTCTTGTAGGAAGTCAGCCTTGCCAGCTGAAGCAGGGAACTGGCTAAGGCAGCTGCACCCTGGTCCGACCATCAGAGAGCAAGAGACCTGAGAACTAGAAAGGTGAGGCTCACTGAGCCATTTATCCCTTTGCCCATCAATTAACCCCACGTGTTTATCGGCCAGGTTGGCACAATAAACTACCTCAAGCAGCTAAAGCAAATGGAAGAAATAATGAAATGAAAAGGTTGAGTAAAACATTTAAAAAGGCAGCTCAAGAAGACAAAGTAAAGTATTCAGAGGAAATATGTAAAGACGTGGAGTTAGAAAACCACAAGGAAAGAACAAGCATGACATTCTTCAAATAGGAACAATTGAAGGAAAAAAGGCATGCTTTGAATTGCAATGTTGAAGGATTTTATGGGCAAACTATTGCACAATGCAGGAAATATCATCAGAAGAGAGAACAAAAACAAACCAGCAAACACAAAAGATAGAATACACAAGAGTTATTGTACCAAAAAGAACTGGGGAGCATTCAACCATTTCGTGAGGTAGTTTATGATCAAGAACCAATGGTGCTGATGGAAGAAGCCCAAGCTGTACTGAAAGCATTAGCTAAAAGCAAGGCTTCAGGAATTGACAGAATGCCAATGGAAATAATTCAACAAACTGAGGCAGTACTGAAGGTGCTCACTGGTCTATGTCAAGAACAGTGGAGGACATCTACCTAACCAACTGACTGGGAGAGACCCACTTCTGCGTCCACTCCAAAGAAAGGCAACCAGACAGAATGTGGTCCCATGGAAGTAAAATTTTGTTTAAGGCAATTAAAAAATCGCTGTAGCAGTACAGATATAGGGAGCTACTAGAAATTCAAACTACATTCAGAAGAGGACATGGAGCCAGGGATATCATTGCTGATGTCAGATGGATCCTAGCTGAACGCAGAGAATACCAGAAAGATATCTACTTGTGGTTTGTGGACTATGCAAAGGCAATTGACTGCATGGATCATAACAAATTATGGATAGTAATTCAAATAATAGAAATTCCAAACCCTTAATTGGCTTGTGCAGAACTTCTACACAGAGCAAACAGAACAACTAAATGTGTGCATCAGCATTGAATCCATTCACCATACTAATAAACTCTGTATGTTGAGCAAATTCTCAAAGAAGCTGGATTATATGGAAAACACAGCTTCAGGATTGAAGGAAGGCTCTTTATATGCAGATGACACACCTTGGCTGCTGAAAGAGAAGTGGACTTGAAGCACTTACTGATGAAAGTGAAAGGCTACGGCCTTCATCAGGGATGATTCATCATGATCTCTAACATAAAATGGCAATGCTACCTCTAAGGTGAACCATACATATATCATAGAAATATGATTGGATTTAATTCTAGCCTCAATCTAGGAACAATGAGTTCTTATGACATGGCCCTGCTGATGAAGAAACTAGATGTTGCCCGGCTTTCAGAAGTAATAGCAACTGACACCTTAGGGCTTGTCTTCAAACAAGCAGCCATCACAGTGAGGCATCAACTAAATCCATGTGGAAGAAGCACACCAGCCTCTGGGATCCAAGTATTGTAAACAAAAATATGTAAATTTGAAAGAGAGAATGGTATCTGAGCTTAAATATGCTTTGCAGAAGGTTATGGTTAACAGTGGAAGCCCAAAATCCATGTGCAGGGTGCACACATGAATCAAGCCTCTGGTCCAGGGCTCAAACTTTTTAAACAGGGGGCCAGTTCACTGTCCCTCAGACCTGTTGGAGGGCCGGACTATAGTTTACAAAAAAGCCTATGAACAAATTCCTATGCACACTGCACATATTTTATTTTGAAGTAAAAAAACAGATGGGGCAAAAACACCCGGCGGGCTGGACAAATGTCCTCGGCGGGCCGCATTTGGCCAGCGGGCCATAGTTTGAGGACCCCCGCTCTAGTAAATCCTCTCTAAGCATAGTCAAGGTATGTGAATGGTCTTGTTATCAGACAGAGCATATTGTAAAGTTGTTTATGGCAGACGTAGTTAAGATTAAAATAACATCTTATCATTTGATCTCTCTTGACTCATTTTAAAGTTGTTTCAGTTAAAAAAGGAAAGGGTAAATACACGTGGATTAAGCCTCCTGTGAACTCCCTCTGACCATCAACCAGGTATATTAATAGCCTAGCTAATATGCAGAATGCACTGGAAAGTAGATAATTGCAAATGCAGTTAGGTTAAAATTTAACACCTTATCGTTTGATTTCCTTTCTGACTCATGTTAAATTTGTTCTAGTTGTTAATATTTTCTGCTTTCTGTTCAATTGAGATTTTTATCTATTTTAGTTTATTATTGTTAGCTTTTCTTGTTTTGTTTTTAAAAAGGTTTTCTTTATATGAAATCCAGGATAAGTAAATCTAGGGAGACAGGAACTGGGTTACCTTGGGGGTGTAGCAGAGGAAGTTGGGGGAAACAGGAGCTAATAAGGATGAATACAAGGAATAAAATATTCTAAAATGGATTGTGGTGATGACTACAGTCTTCTTGATATGACTGAACTACTGACTTGTATAGTTTGTGAATTATATGCCAATAAAATGGTTTAAAATAAAAACAAATAAAATGTTTGATCCACAACAAAAAGAAAAAAGTGCTTTATAAAAATGGTCAGACAGAGAGAAAATGTTTTGAGAAACGATGTACAAATGCGCTTTACACAATTGATGTGTGTATGGATTGGGATAACAGTTGTATGAGCCCCTAATAAAATGTTAAAAAAAAAAAAAAAAAAACATTTATAGAGGTATAAACATAAAAAAAAAAAAGGTCAGACATTGGACAGTGCAAGACATGAAAAATAATAATAATTTATAAATTATCAAGGGTTCATGACGGAGATAGGGAGGGAGGAGGAAGAAAGGGAAAAATAAGGAGCTGATATCAAGGACTCAAGTGGAAAGAAAATGCTTTGAAAATGATGATGGTAACATATGTACAAATGTGCTTGAAACAATGGATGGATGTATGGATGGGTTGTGATAAGAGTTGTACGAACCCCCAATACACTGATTTATAAAAAACATGGCCCCAATAAAATGATTTTTTAAAATTAAATTTAAACTTTTTTTAAAAAATGGGCAGAAACCCTGTGTGTATAGTAAGAACAACTGAACTGTACATTGGAAATGGGTGAGTTGTATGACATGTGAATCTCAATAAAGCAGTTTTCTAAATGGTACAGAAAAAAGAAAGACATAAAACAAATAAAAACCTTCACAGTTGGACCGAGAGACAATAAACAAAGAAAAGACTGAAACGTGTCGAAGATTGCATTTTACTTGGCTTCCCAATCAATGCTCACAGAAGCAGCAGTTTAAAAAGCAAGCAACGTAATGCATCTACTGCACAAGGCCACTTTAAAGTGTCAGACAGCGAAGAGGTCGTTTTGAGGACTAAGCCACAGTGTTTTCATTCACTTCATATGCATGTGAAAGTTGGAGAAACAAGGAAGACCACAAAATAACTGATGCCTTAGAATTTTTATTTTGCCGAAGAAGATTGCAAGTACTACAGACTTACAGAAAAATAAATAAATCTGTCTTGGAAGAAATAGAGCCAGGATGATCCTTGGTAGCAAGGCTGGGGAGTTTCCTCTTATGTACTTTGGACTTGTTATCAGGAGAGACTCCTCCACACAGAGGGCATTCTGCTTGTTAAAGGGTCAAAACAAAGAGGACGACGACCTTCAATGAGATGGACTAACACAATAGCCGCAACAATTAACAATTGTGGGGATGGTGCAGGACCGGGCAGTGCTTCATTCTGTAGTGTGTTGTCCTTATGAGACAGAACTGACTAGACATCCCCTAACAACAACAAAGCATAAAAAAAAAAAACCTGGTTTGATGAGCTTATCTGCTAACCAAATGAGCCACTGAAAACCCTATGAAGCATGGTATTATTTTAACACAGACAGATTTGCCGTGAGTCGCAGTCGACTCCATAGCCACTGGCTTTAAATCAACTTACCAGTTTGTTTAAATTAAGTCCCCTGGAATTTGGGTCTCGCCCAATGGCCCACAGCAAACAATCCACATCCGGAATGGAGGTTTCAGTGGGTTTCCTACCAGGAGCGGAGGTGACCATGCTCAGTTCCAAGCCCGATGAGGTCTTTTTGACTTCTTTGATCTATTGACAATTATAACGTGGTTAAGGAGGAAACGTTTTAAAAAGGCAAGCAAGTAAAGACGCAACTAGAATTCTTAATGTTAAAAACATGAGGAACCCCCCCCAGTAGATTCTACATGTTAATATATAGATATTTACTTTTGCCCAAAGACCATCAACATGAGAATTCCCAGGGCCACACCAGATCTCCAAGGTCTTAAATTGTTGTTTGTATCTCCATCTGTTAGGATTGAATTGTGCTCCCCCAAAATATGGGTTACAAATCCTAACCGCTGTAACTTGAGGAGGCTCCCTGGAAGCGCAGTGGTTAGATGCTTGGTGACTTGAACCCACTGGCCACTCTGGGAGCGAGATGTGGCCATCTGCTTCCGTAAGACTGACTGCTTTGGAACCCTATATAGTAGTTCTGGGGTTTTACACCTCTGGATGCAATCCCATTTGGAAATAGGGGTTTCTTTGCTATGTTAATGAGATCCTACCAGTGTAGGATATGTCATAAACTCTAACCCCTTTTTATATTGAGATATAGAAAGAATAAATTAGACACAGAAGTTAAGAGCAAACAAAATAGAGGGCAGACAGATGCCGCTGGGTGATCTCCAGGGAGCTAAGAGCTCCTGCAGAGCTGAGCATGACTTCCCCTCAGCATGGATAGAGAGCCTCCCCCAGAGCCGGTGACTCCTAAACGGTGAGAGAATCTGTTCTCCGCGGCCACCCACTTGTGGTATTTTTGGACTAGCAACACTGGCAAACCAAGACACCACCAAAATACTCCACTTTAAAGACAACGTGTTTCAATGAGTACTCCCTTAAGAAAAGGGATAACATTTGTTCTTGGTTTTAATATTTTCTGCTTTCTTTTCTAGTGAGGTTTTTATGTTTTACTTTGCTATTCTTGTTAATTTTTCAGAAAATGTTCTGTTGTTTATGAAATCTGGATAGGTAAATCTATAAAGGCAATAACTGGATAACTGGGTCCTTGGGAGAATAAGGCAGGGGAGGCTGGGGAAAATGGTGAGCTATTAGCGTTGAGTACAAGAGTGAAAAAAATGTTCTAAAACTGATTGTGGTGATGATTGTACAACTCTTCTTGATGTGACTCAACTACTGAATTGTATGATATGTTAATTATATGCCAATTTAGCTGTGGGGGAGTGATAAAGAACTGTGATAACACTGCAAGTCATAAATCTAAGCGCAGGGGTTCTTGCAGAGCGGGGTGAAGACATAGGAAACTTAAAACTGTTCAATCACTGTTTCTCCTGGAACGTTCTTAATCAGAACTGAATGGAGGAGGTACGAGATAGTCAGGAGAACTGGGCATATTACGTATTATGGGGGAGATCTTAACATGAGTCTGCTAACACCCAAACACCTGTGTAAATGTCCAGGTTCACAAAGAGTGATCTCATTGATTCCCCTGATATGGCCTATGTAAAGCTGTGAAAAATAATGGCTAATTATCCAAGAGAATTGTACTGAAACTTAGGAGGAGCAAAGTCTTTCATAATTCTTTCCACGTACCAAATTCAAATGGTAAAGTTAAAGAAGTCATTCTATAACACCATTTCCTGGAAAAATACAACTTTCCTCTAGTTCCTAAATGTTTCCTTCCCGCTCCCACTACCATGACTCGAATTCGACCTTGCAAGTTTGGCTAGACCAGAGGATGTACACTGGTACAGATAGGAACTGGAAATCCAGGGAATCCAGGGCGGATGAGCCCTGCAGGACCAGTGGTGTGAGTGGCGAAACAGGGAGGATAGAGGGAGAATGGGTAGGAAAGAGGGAACCAATTACAAGGAACTATATGTGACCTCCTCCCTGGGGGACAGACAACCAAAAAGTGGGTGAAGGGAGACGTGGACAGGGCAAGATATTACAAAATACCAATTTATAAACTATCAAGGGCTCATGAGGGAGGGGAAAGCGGGGAGGGAGGGGGAAAATGAGGACCTAATGTTGGGGGTTTAAGTGGAGAGAAAATGTTTTGAGAATGATGTACAAATGCGCTTTACACAATTGATGTGCGTATGGATTGCGATAACAGTTGTATCAGCCCCTAATAAAATGTTTTTAAAAAAACCCACCATTTCCTGAACACAGAAACCTGCCAATAACCAAAGGATTAGTTTTGCATTAAACTATTAGATTTCTAATCTTTTTGTCTTAACTCCATTGATCTTTGAATGTGAAATAACCGCTTCTTAGGGAGACACATGGATGTGCTCTCAAAAAACTCCAACTCACTGCCATCCAGTCAATTCGGACTCAGAGAAGCCCTGGAGGGCAGGACCGAACTGCCCCGCTGGGGCTCCGAGGCTTCCTATCTTTTACAGGAACAGAAGCCTCATCTTTTTCCTATGGAGCTGTTGGTGGGTTTGAACTGCTGACCTTATGGTTAGCAACCCAGAACATAAACTCACTACATCACCACGGCTCTCGAAGGAATAAATGGAAAGGAGTAGCCACAGTGCCTGTGTTTACAAAACTCACTGGGTGAAGCGTAAGCTACAGGTGGGATTCCCAAGAGAGAAGCGAGCAAGTGCTGCAACCAGGCGTAGGCGCCGTCTTACCTGTGAGTATCTGAGGACGTCAACGCCCGCTCGCTCGAGCTCTTCGGTGCAGTTCGAACTGATGAGCGAATCAAAAGTTCTAAGCACCTGTACAAAAACATAGGCAGCAGAGGGAAGGGGGGTGGGCAACAGAAGAAAACTTGATTAAAGACATGCTATAAACTCGGCGGGGAAATTCATTCGTGATCTCTAAGTTTCCTTTTAGTAAAAAAAAAAAAAAAAAGCTTTAGTGGCTTATTCTGCTTATATATGAAACTGAACTCGAGGATAAGAAATTAACCTAACACTCTGGTGAATTTAACTAGCAACTGTATTTAAGCCTACACATCTCCTTATTAAGGCATCTGATGACTATTTGCCATCTCATGTGGGAAACACCAGGCAGTTTGATCACATAAAAATCTTTACTGTCACCTAGCAGTGTGAACGAAACTGGATGGATTATAACGCCAAATTCAAATAACCTGGATTCGGTGCCATGTGGAGCAGACCAATCAATGACTGTCATACTCTTCGTACCTTAACATCCACTGGCAACATGGGAAAATATGCTCAGTGTTGACTTTTACAAAAGTTAACACCAAAGAAAGGGCAGGGAACAGGACAGACTTACCTTATCATGCCGTATCATTATTGACGTTTCAGAGCCCAGAGCAGAGAGGATTCCTGCTATCTCCACAGCAATGTAACCGGCACCAACAATGACACTGCGCCTGCACGGGGAGCACAGGGTCATTCTGGTAAACAGGCTTCTGATTCTAAAATGATCCTAGATTTAGTCAAACCTTGCAAAGGTTGGAGAGAGATTTCTCTTATATTCCTTGCCCCGTTTTCCCTAAAGCAAATGTCTTATACAACCGAGGTCCACTTGTCAAAATTGAAATTGGCATGGCTAAAAAGTGAGGAGGATTAAAAAAGTTTGTGGGAAAATGAATGAAAATATAATGGAAGTTTTCCATGAATGTTTTAAAGCACACACACACACATGCATGCACACACACACACCCTGTTCTTTATTCAGATTTCACCAATGTTCCATTAATGTCCTTTTTCTGTTCCAAGACCTAATTTTAAGTAAAAGATATTCCATGTGGAAGAAGGGAATATGTATTTGTAGGTTTCAAAAGTTCTTTGGCAACACGTCTTCCGAGGGGAAACAGCAAGGAAAACCAGGAGAATAGAGACACTTTGGTATGTAATCATCTCTCACCAAAAGCTATAACCAGGGCCACACTTCTCACTATGGTTTTTCTTCTCTGCTCAGCATTTCTCCTCGATCATTATTCACTTCTATTAATCCTTGAAATATGATTAAAGACCAGTTTTAGCAAGCTCTTTGTAGTAGAGATGTGCAGTAAAACTCAAGTCCATGGATCTGGTCGGAGGATGAAGCTTACAGACTAGCTAAAGGTTGGATAAAGGTTGGAATTAATGGTGAACAAGCCGAGATCCTCATCCTATTGCAATGCTGACAGGCCCTCAACTGGAGCTACCCCCTTGGTGGCTGGAATCATCTAAAGCTTCAACCACGGTCCTTTACCATTGTTAACCCGTTGGTATAAGAAGCAAACAAGCAGGGTGAGAACAATGGAGCCCTTCCAACATCCATGGGGTCTACAGGAATCAACCCTTTAGCAACAGGTTTTCAATGTGTTGTGAATTTTTGCCCTCCGAGGGTTTATAGTCTGGCCGGACAGTGAAGTATGAACCCTCCGGCTGTAAATTAGACATGACAACCTCCTTATCCTACAACCCAGGGGATGAACAGAGAAATGACTGGATAAGTCAACACTGTGAAATAGGTCTTCTTCCATTTATAGCTTCCTCTGGATACATGTTGGCTTTGGTATTCCTCTCCTCTTCTTCTTCTACCTCTAGCTATCTTATTTTTCTTCTCCAAATGTTTTAATTTAAATCCCACTTTGCTAACAAGCATTGCACTGGCTAGGATAGGCAATGGTCCCTTCCCAGAGGAATGTTAGCAAGGAACTTTCCCTGAAGAGGTCAGTAGGAAGATTTTGCAAGGGCTAGAGGATACATTTCCAAGCAAGGGGCAAATAAGAAGACACAGGCACAAAACAACTTGGCTTCTTCAGAGATCTACAGCATCAGTGTTTCTCAGCTCTTGGAAGCACCTTCCTTCCCCATTTACCACTCTAGTATCCAATGGAAATGAGCTTGCATTCCTCAGAACCCTAAGGCACTTGCCATAACTCCGATGGGGCTCAGAACCCCTGATGCTACACAGGTTCCACGGGGTTATCCTTAACCCAGTCTCCTGATGGTAAAACGGAGTCATACAGCCCTCGGCAGACGGTACGCTGGCTCCCAAATTTGTTCTTTCCAAGGCTTTGAACTGGTTCATTCTAGTTTTACCCCTCTGCTGAGAATTTGCAAACCCCCTCCCCCCCACTAGAATTTCTAGTTTAACTAGAAGCATCTAGGGAATGTGTTAAATACAGATTCTCATACAGTCTATCTGGGGTGGAAATGCAAATCTCAGCAGTGATTGAACAAATTATCTGGTTTGAAGGCCTCCTTTCTTCCTCAATTATTCACTTAATCACAAACATTTTAACAATGGAAAAGGACTTTTGTAAAAAAGGAAAATCGTATTATTAACTATAGATTCATTTTTCTGTGTAACCAGAGCTTTTTGTTTATAATATGCATGTCGGTACAAGTTTAACAAATGAATATAATGGACAGATATGTATACTGAAGCTTTCTGGAGGATGGGTGTAGCACTTACATAATTTCATGTCAACTTGAAGATGTGTGAAAGTGTAGGGGTGGAGTACAGCCTGTCAATCAGGCCACAGCCTGATGGTGACTCCTTGTGGGTGTGGCCTTCTCATAAGGAAGCTCCTGGGAATCTCCCCTCTCTCCCTGCCTTCACCTTCCTGCTCGAGGACCCTGGCTGAAGCCAGAGCCCTGGAGATGCGTCCACCACTATTGGATCCACCGGCCGGTGATGCTCCTGCATTCTGCATCATAGCATGTGGCTTCGTGAGCCTGAAGTTCACCACCTGAATGAAGGGAACCACCCTTGCCCAGTCTTCCCGGCTCAAAGCCTTGAATTACTCCTTGATATAAAGCTCTTTCTGATACATAGTGAGTGTCACTGGATTTGTTTCGCTAGTCAACCTGGCCTAACACAATGAGTCTGGATTAAATTATATCACTGAAGCTACATGAATCGTGACATTTCCAGATACGTTTTTTGCATGTGTCATATCATTCAGCCCTAAAACCAGGCAGTTTGGGGTGGGTCATGAAGGGAGGAAACCTATTCCTACACACGAATTACTCTACCCTGACAGCAAATTTGAAGAGAATACCAGTTTTCCTCAAGACTCTTCAGGGCCAGAATCCTACTTGCTCTGAGCCAAGGGGAAGTTTTACTGGAGCCATGGAACTGCAAAGAAGCCCTCACTTGCCCCTTATTATCCAACCGTGGCTCAAGGAGAATTAAGGTAAAGAGTGTGACCTATTAGTCACCTTCCATGAAAGCCTTGACAAAAGGAAAGGGATTAGGACTTCAAACTGGACTGGCGACATAGGGTAAAGGAGCAGCATTGTTGAGCAATCCTGACCGCAGAATGAACGCTCTGCAGAGGAGATGGCGGCCGGCCTCTGGGCCCACAGGTTCTCCCCCTATTCCTTGGTGTCGCCTCATCAGTTAAAGGTGGGGCCCTATTTATAGAGGTCAAATAAAGGCATGTACATATGTAAATATATTTATATATGAGGATGGGGAAATAGATCTATGTGCATATATTTGTAGGTTTAGTATTAAGGTAGCAAAAGGACATTAGGCCTCCACTCAAGTACTCCCTCAATGTAAGAATACTTTCATCTATTAAATTGGCATTCTATGATGCTCACCTTCCTGATACAACTGCTGAAGATAAAGCGGGTGAATAAGTGTGGTAAAGAAAGCCAATGGTAAAGAAAGCCAAGACTCAATGTGTTAGGCTATCAAAAGATATAGCTCTGGGGTCTTAAAAGCTTGAAGGTAAACAAGCGGCCATCTAGCTCAGAAGCAACAAAGCCCACATGGAAGAAGCACACCAGCCTGTGTGATCACCAGGTGCCCAAGGGATCAGATATAAGGCATCAAAGAACAAAAAATCATATCATTGTGTGTTCACCTCCCTGATAGGATCGCTGTAGACAAATGGGTACATCAGCAAATGTAGCGAAGAAAGCTGATGATGCCCGGCTATCAAAAGGTATAGTGCCTGGGGTCTTAAAGGCTTGAAGGTAAACAAGCGGCCATCTAGCTCAGAAGCAACAAAGCCCACATGTAAGAAGCACACCAACCTGTGTGATCATGAGGTGTCGAAGGGATCAGGTATCAGGCATCATCAGAACAAAAAATCATATCATAGTGAATGGAGAGGGGGTGCAGAGTGGAGACTCAAAGACCATTTGTAGGCCACTGGAAATCCCCTTACAGAAGGGTATCGGGAGGGTATCGAGGAGGAGACGCGCCAGTCAGGGTGCGATGTAGCAACGATGAAAAATACAACTTTCCTCTGGCTTCTAAATGCTTCCCCTCCTTCCCACTATCATGATCCGAATTCTACCTTGTAGGTCTGGCTGGACCAGAGGATGTACACTGGTACAGATAGGAACTGGAAACGCAGGGAATCCAGGGCAGATGATCCCTTCAGGACCAGTGGTGGGAGTGGCGGTACTGAGAGGGTGGGGGGAGAGTGGGTTGGAAAGAGGGAACCGATTACAAGGATCTACATGTGACCTCCTCCCTGGGGGGTGGACAGCAGAAAAGTGGGTGAAGGGAGACGTCGGACAGGGCAAGATATGACAAAATAATAATTTATAAATTATTAAGGGTTCATGAAGGAGGCGGGAATGGGGAGGGAAGGGAAAATATGAGGAGTTGATGCCAGAGGCTTAGGTAGGGAGAGGAAATGTTTTGAGAATGATGAGGGCAATGAATGTACAAATGCGCTTTTCACAATTGATGTATGTATGGATTGTGATAAGAGCTGTATGAGCCCCTAATAAAATGATTAAAAAAAAAAGGCGGAGCCCTATAACCTACAAAACTTAGAATGTGCAGTATCTTCAAATTAGAGAAACTATCTTCCTTGCTCATTTTTGCCTCTCTGTGTATCTAAAGCCACGGTAATTCACTGTGGCTGTTCTAACACAAAGAGCAATTCCAAAAAAATGTATTATCGTGACACCAACACAGCCTTCATTTATGGAGAACCCTCTGCAACAGCTGTTTAAAACACCCAAACTAAACAACAAAAACAAAACTAGCTTTATTTTAGACATAAAACCAACTGATGCTGTATCACACTGAAGAAAGAAGACAATTATAAAATATGGCTAATTTTGTCTGGAGGACTTTACCCTTTAATTTTAGAAATCACTCCGTATTTGATTTTGAATCTAAAACCATTTGGAATTGGCTTTCGCCAAAAGCATTACAGATGTGCATCATCCGCTGAGCGGCCCAGTGAATGAGAACCCCCATAGAGGAACGGCTCTTGCCGTGTGCTGTCAAGTGGCTTCATTCTCCTAGAGACCCTGCAGCACAGTGTAGCACTGCCCCTGCGGGGTTTCCAGGTCTTTACAGAAGCAGCCCGTCACTCTCCCTCACAGCAGCTGGTGGGCTTGAACTGCCGACCCTTTGATTAACAGTGAAGCACTTAACCATGGCAACGCCAGGGCTCCTTACAGAAGGTGTAGGAAGACAAAATCCAGCGAGTGCCGGCATTTAATGGCTGAGAGGAGGCAGTAGGCAAAGTGTTATCAGCAGGAGCGATGAAGGGAAGGAGGGACCACTGAGATGGGTAAGAAACCAGCTTACCTAGGCAACGCTTCCAGCTGAAAAAACCCGTCGCTGGTTATCCCAAGGCTGGCACCTATGTTGGAAGATTCAATAGATCACACAAGACTGTGCTTTCTTGTAAAATAATTACAACATTTCATGCAAGAACCAAGCATTTTTTTTATCCAACATCCTCTGTTTTGACAAGTTTTGTTAATGTCTCTACTTGGGAAGCGGCCAAGTAAGTCTTTCTGGAGTCAAAGTTTTTATTCTCTCTCCAGAAACAGGAGATTAATAACAAAATAACTTGGTAAGCTCCCTGAAGAACGGACATCTTTTCAGCTCTCATGAATGAACATTTTTTGCTGGCTCTGTTTCATCCTCTCAACCATCCCCAAATGCATAGGTGGGGTGGGGGACGGTGCGGGGGAAACACCCAGCCCAGCCTTGGTCTCTTCTCTCTACTTCCTTCCTCAAAGGTTTCAACCAGCTCTCACCCTCCATGTGAAGGACTTCCCAGTAGGTGGTTTCTGTTCTGGCCTTTACTTCAAATCCCTTTTTTCTAACTGTCCTGCCACACAATTCTTTGCTTCAAACTCAATATACTTAGCATTGGGCATTATCGCTAGAAGCAGTCCTCCACCCCACCAGGTTCACCACCTGAATGAAGGGAACCACCCTTGCCCAGTCTTCCCGGCTCAAAGGCTTGAATTGTCAAGTTGTGATTCCGCCTCCCTCTCCGACAGCTCATCCGTTAGTTGGTTGGTAATCCCTCCTACACATGAACCAGCATCTGCCTCTGGAAGACTCACCGGGGATCTGGCTCTCAGGAGGAAGCGTAGGCACGCCGCCCGTGGCAATCAGGATGTGAGGAGCGGTGTATCTCTTCCCATTGACCTCCACGGTGGGCGTGCGATCACATGTGAAGGTTGCAAAGCCATGGATGATATCTATACGGGACTGAAGAAGTCACCAGGGAGGCATTACTTTCTGCTTACAATACAACACCTGCTGCAGAGCTTATTCGATTTTTCCCTTTCTCTACTAAGGATTTTGATTTTCGGTTCATGGTTGCCAAGACAACTCTCCATCGTTTCAGATTTCTGCACAATATCTATTCTTGGTGCCTAGGTGAGAAGGCTGCCATTTGCCGTTGATGTGCCGTAAAAAGAAATCTCAGTGCTCTGTCGTGCCTCAGTGAACAGACCGACTCAGATGTGCGAGTCACCCCCACAAGAAGGAGACTGCATCTTAGTTCCCGAGAGTGAAGAGGACAAATCTTCCTTACTCTCAATGAAAATAAATTGATGATCTACAGGACGGGCAGAATGGAGAGAAAGCAGGGCTTTGAACCAGTTCAGACCTTCCCCCAGGCCCCCCCCTCCCCAAGATACACTGAATCAGACGCCACATTCTGGGGATCTGTAAGAATCACCAGAGCTCAAGTGGAAAGAAAATGTTTTGAGAATGATGATGGCAACACATGTACAAATGAGCCTGACACGATGGATGGACGTATGGATTGTGATAAGAGTTGTACGAGCCCCCAATAAAATGATTTTTAAAACAAAAGCATCACTAGAGGATTTTGTTCAACGGCAGAGTCTGATTCCATGCATCTGGGGTGCGAATGTAGTTATGGAGGACCTGTAATGAACTGGGCCAAAGCCCCGTGAAAATAGCACGCGAATAAAGGAGAAGGGAGTGCAGGCTGAAGGGAAATAGAGACTTGGGAGGGGGGGTGCTCAGCTTCTGTGTGCTTACACAAAGCGGGACCCCAGCACAGCATTGCAAGATGGGAAGTGCTATGCGAAGGTGTTGACAAAGACTCTTTGATTAGCTCTTAGCAGCATCTCTGCACACGGCCTGGCTCTCAGGACTGATGGCAATCATGACACAGGTACTGGCATGCAGAGTGGGCACCATAGGAGGATAATGGGACCATGCAAGCGTGATCACAGAATGGAAGGTTTACAAAATTTGGAACATGCTTGTATCCAAATATTTCTCCCTTTCCGACCTGTTCCTGCAGGTACCTGGCTTAATCAAGCTGAATCAACATCAATACAAAGCTTCCAAACTCCTAGGCAATGATTTCCCTGGGGTGCAAGGTAAAAAGGGGGTGGGTAGAGAGGTAATACTACAGACAATAGTCTGGGGGAGGAAATGATTTGATTTTTACTTTCATTCCCTAGAATATTAGATTGGCTTCTTTGCCTCTACAGGATTTCTGGATCAACTTGGTACAATTCCTTCCCTCTATGAAATGCTAGAACAAAAAAGGTCACAGTAAGCCTCTACTGCACACTACGATTTGTGCATATTAACACATCTTCCTCTCTCAGTAACTTTTCTATCTCCTGACAGAAGTACTTTACTTAGTTCTCATTTATTTATTTGATATGGATGCATAAGCCTCATGTTTGGCAGCCTCCAAACCTCGTATTGTTGGTGCACAGAGGACTATGCACCCCACCCCACCCCCACCCCGGTAATTAACAGCAGAAAATATCACCCTTCAAACAAGGAACCTAGTGAATGAACGACAGTGAGTTTTAATTTCCAGAAGGAATGATAAGAATCAGCAGAGAGATAAGGTTAGCCAACTGTAGAAGTAACTCTCTTTAAAAGCGGGTTTATAACCACGCTGCTAATGAGATTTCAGGGGCCCAAATATCAAATGCCTCCTGATCAACACGACTTCAGGTATGTTATAATCTTAGAAATGGCCCAGTGAGACCACAGGCAAATGAGATGTGCTGTGTTCGCGGTGGTCAAGTCAAATGAGGGTGGATGAGGCAGTTTGCCCAGGCCGACAGGGGGAAGGGAAGAAGCAGTCTGACACCAAAGGACCGAGGCACAGAGGGCCTCAGAGCAGGGGAACACAGCAGGCTGGAAGCAAATGTACCTTTTCTCAAGTTTTAAATTTATTTTGCATCAGATTTCATTCACGCAAACCTCCTTCTGAACCATTATTTGGTCTCTTGAGTAGGATGAGGATGCTCTGAGCAAATGAACCCTGTTAGGTGTCTAGCCAGCTAACACGCCTCATTTTAAATGACAACCTGCCATCCAAAACCAAACCCACGGCCGTCTAGTCCAGTCCAACTCATAACCCCCCAATAGGACAGAGTAGGACTGCCCCATAGGGTTTTCCAAAGCTGTAATCTTTACTGAAGGAGGCTGCCACGTCCTTCTCTTTGGTGTAGCTGGTAGGCTCGAACCATTGGCCTTGTGGTTGACAAGTGAGTGCTGAAGTGCTGCACCACTACAGCTGATGTACTCCTACATAATTAGGTTCTGGTGTGTTTGGTGTCTGACTCAAAGTGGAGGGCTAGACCAACTCTGGCTCACACCTCTCTCACTTGGTAGGAAAGTACCCTACAGAGATAGGTCGACTGCATAATAGCAAAAGGAATAATAGACACTGTTAGGCAGAAACGGGAGTTGGTGGGGCAAGCAAGTAGAAAAATACCCTGGGCAAGAGAAAAACACTCCAAGGATATTGTAAAAACCCAAGCCTCCCCCTCCCCTTCGGTGACCTTCCAACAGAGGCTAACCGTTGTCGATAGCATTGAACATTGTTGCTTAGCCTTGGATTTGCAGACAGCAAAATAAAAGTCCCCAGCTACTTCCTCCCCAAGACCTGGGCTATACAACTCTTCATCTCTCGCCTGGACAGCATGACTTCTAGGGCCTCAATGAGGGACCCCTGAACCTCGCCTGGGAGCTCTGAAATAAAACTCTAAAACTATATGCTGCCTTTGTCCTTTCTCTTTCTTTCCATTGCCAAAATTACCTTACAGACATAATCAGAGGTTTAGCCAAAGGCTATACTCTAGTCTGATCGGACACGGTAGCTCATCCTACCGGCGAAGAGTTCTTTTTCAAAATTCAAAACCCAGCTTACAAACCTTGGTCAGATTGTTTTCATAGACCGTGTTCAGGCGGCTCACATACGCGTCCCGCTTCTCCTTTATCACACTGCAAGGAAACTGGAGTCATTATTGAGAAGCCTCTGGTCTTGAGCACCCCTAAGCAGAGAAGCACAGATTGTGACTAAGAACCCCAATGGACGACTGCTCTGAGGACTTTCTTCTCCATCGGCTTCCCCCAGGGTAGAAGCCCTTATTCCACCCCGTGGAGAATCGTCAATTGGCAGCCATAGTACATACGCTTCTTGACCGTATCACACAGTGGAAGTGGGCTGGGCCCATGGAACATATACTTCTTTCTGCGTAGATGACAAGAAAGCCTGCCTGGGCACAGGGCCTACTCAATCACTATTTGAATAAATAAATGAATTCATTCAAAACTTTTGGAAACTAGATAGCGTCAAAAAATGATGGCTCAGTCAGGGTGCGATGTAGCGATGATGAGAAATACAACTTTCCTCTAGTTCCTAAATGTTTCCTCCCCGCTCCCACTACCATGACTCGAATTCTATCTCGCAGGACTGGCTAGACCAGAGGAGGTACACTGGTATAGATCGGAACTGGAAATACAGGGAATCTGGGGCAGATGAGCCCTATAGGACCAGTGGTGTGAGTGGCAAAACAGGGAGGGTAAAGGGAGAATGGGTAGGAAAGAGGGAACCGATTACATGGAACTGTGTGTGACCTCCTCCCTGGGGGACAGACAACCGAAAAGTGGATGAAGGGAGACGTCGGACAGGGCAAGATATGACAAAATACCCATTTATAAACTATCAAGGGCTCATGAGGGAGGGGGGAGCGGGGAGGGAGGGGAAAAATGAAGACCTAATGTCGGGGGTTTCAATGGAGAGAAAATGTTTTGAGAAACGATGTACAAATGCGCTTTACACAATTGATGTGTATATGGATTGGGATAACAGTTGTATGAGCCCCTAATAAAATATTAAAAAAAAAAATGATGGCTCACTTAGTTATGAAAGGAAAAAAAAATCTCATATTTGTAAGGCAAACCCTCTGAGCATCTAACACTTACCTCCAATTGAATTTGCTCTCACAACTTTGAAAGCCATAGTCCGCGTGATCATGCATAAATTCAGAGTGCACAGCTGTGTTCCACATTACCTATTAAAAGCAAGAATCCAAAGCAGTGGTCTATGAGTTTTGAGGAAAGACAGAGGTCATGAAATCACACCTATATAATAACAAGTAAAATTTAAATAGAAAACTAAATAAATAATTTTACTTATTTATTTTAATTAATTAATTAATTTTATTATGTTTTGAACTTGTAGTTCAGGTGAAAATTTAACCCAAAGTAAACATTTTTAAAGAGAAAATTCAGAAGCATCACCAGATGGATTTTATAGTGAGGTTTCTAAGATGCTGGGGAAACTTATTCCTACTGTTAAATTCTCACTCACTGCCATCGAGTCTACTACAACTCACAGTGAACCTATAAGACAGGTGGAACTGCCCCTGGGATTTCCAAGACTGTACCTCTTTATAGGAGTAGAAAGCCTCATCTTTCTCCCACAGAGCGGTTAGTGGTTTCTAACTGAGGACCTTGTGGTTAGCATTCAATGAGTAACCACCACACCACCAGTGTTCCTGTTAAAATCCCTCGTGTATAAACACTACAAAAACAGAAGATGCCTCATCATATCCCTTCATATATATATATATTTATTTTCCTTTCCAAAGTTTTAGATAGCTTTAAACCCTGCCCTGTTTGATTCAGTTCCAGGTCATAAGAGTTACATCTATAACTTTACAGTAAAATCATTTGAAGTCATCTTTTAGATAAAGTTGAGGACTAAAAACTATAAAACAATGAATTCTATTAAGTATTCAGTTATTTGGAGGAGTCAAGGTTTAACACAAATAGTATTTTTAAATATTGAGGTGCTAACATAGCACCAATTGACATTGAATTTGCTATCATAAATGGCTGAATGATAAAACGATGCTATAATTAATTTACATGATTTATTTATTTGTAGAACTTCAAATGGTGCCCTGGTGGCAGAGTAAGTTACGTGTTAGGCTGCAAACCAGAAGGCCAGCAGTTTGAATCCATAAGCCGAGAGAGAGGCTTTTTGCTTCCATAAAGATTTGCAGCCTCAGAAATCAGTTCTTTTCTGTCCTGTGTAGTTTCTGTGAGTTGCAATCTGCTTGATGGCAGTAGAGTTTTTTTGTTTATTTATTTTTGTTTTTAGTCACAATTTCAAATGGAATAGATTTCAAAATCTAGGACCAAAATGAAGTAAAGCAATTGAGGAAATATACCCCCCCCCCAAAATGAAATTTTCCTAAATAAAAAACAAAAACAAAAGAAAACAAAATATACTTGAATTAAAGGACAGATTACAGGAAACCTTTCTGGAATTAAACTCAGTTATGTGTCACTCATGAGATTACAGTATTCGTTGAGATAATAGGAAGCTGCCAATTAAAAATGCACTCTTGGTTACAAAAGGTTGTAAGCTTGGGATTATAACATGTTTTCAAAGTACATTCAAATGAGGAGTAACATTATTTGCAAGTATAAGTAACAAGCAGCTTTGGAAATAAGATTTGCCAATGCTTCCTCTTTGTCGAGTGGAAAGAATGAGTTCCTTAAATGTGATCAGATAACAGAACCCCAAACCACTAGAGTAGTCTAAAGAATTCAGGAGGATACAGAGTTTAATGGAAGTGCTGAAAAAAGAGTCCATTCAATAATCTGGTTTGCTGGCCTTATTGAGAAAAAATTGTCCTCTAGTGATGACACCCAGTCTTGATTTCTAAGCCCAAATATAATATCATATGATAATAAATTGATGTATCATTAAAAAAAAAGAAGTCAGTTCCTTGTGATGTTCAGCAAGCCTGTCTGATCACTCCTGAACAGAACCAATAAATTCGCATTTCTGAAATAGCAAGGATGGGGACTAAACCCCAAATACAGAATTGAGCAACAAATAACTTCACACATTGAATCTAGAAACCTCATGAAAGTAACTTGAGAAATACAATCTTTTATTTTGTTTAATACTTTTATTGGGGGCTCTTACATCTTTCATCACAATCCATACAAATGTGTCAAGCACGCGAAGAAAGCTGATGATGCCCGGCTATCAAAAAGTAAGCGTCTGGGGTCTTAAAGGCTTGAAGGTAATCAAGCGGCCATCAAGCTCAGAAGCAACAAAGCCCACATGGAAGAAGCACACCAGTCTGTGCAATCACAAGGTGTCGAAGGGATCAGGTATAAGGCATCATCAGAACAAAAAATCTTACCACAGTGAATGATGGGGGGAGTGCGGAGTGGAGACCCAAAGCCCATTAGTAGGCCACTGGAGATCCCCTTGCAGAGGGGTCTTGGGGAGGAGAGGAGCCAGTCAGGGTGCGATGTAACAACGATGAGAAATACAACTTTCCTCTAGTTCCTAAATGTTTCCTCCCCGCTCCCACTACCATGACTCCAATTCGACCTTGCAAGTCTGGCTAGACCAGAGGATGTAGACTGGTACAGATAGGAACTGAAAATACAGGGAATCCAGGGTGGATGAGCCCCACAGGACCAGTGGTGTGAGTGGTGAAACAGGGAGGGTGGAGGGAGAGTGGGTAGGAAGGAGGGAACCGATTACAAGGGACTATATGTGACCTCCTCCCTGGGGACGGACAACAGAAAAGTGGGTGAGGAGAGACATCGGACAGGGCAAGATATGACAAAATACCAATTTATAAACTATCAAGGGCTTATGAGGAAGGGGGGAGGGGGAGGGAGGGGAAAAATGAGGACCTAATGTCGGGGGTTTAAGTGGAGAGAAAATGTTTTGAGAATGAAGTACAAATGTGCTTTACACAATTGATGTGTGTATGGATTGTGATAAGAGTTGTATGAGCCCCTAATAAAATGTTTAAAAAAAACAAATGTGTCAAGCACATTTGCACATATGCTGCCATCATCATTTTCAAAGCATTCTCCTCCCACTTGAGGGCCTGATATCAGCTCCCCATTACTTCCCTCTCCCTCCCCCGCCTGCCCTCCCTCATGAACCCTTGATAAGTTATAGATTATTTTTTCCACATCTTACATCACCCTCTGTCACCCCTCACCCACTTTTCTGTTATTCGTCCCCCTGGGTGGGAGTTCTAGATTGATCCTTGTGATAGAAATACAATCTTAAGTGTGGCCACAAGACACCCAATGCCACACAGTAGATGCTGAATTTTTAGGGAAAAATCAGGGTTTCCAACTGGTTCATTCTGGTTAGACCCCCTGCATTTCCAACCATTTCCAACATACACGTATGATGAGTGCAGAAGAGCCATGTGAGGATCTTGTTAAAATGTAAATTATGACTCAGCGTATCTGGGGTAGAAAAGGGTTCAAACCACCAGCAGCTCCACAGGAGAAAGCCTGGGTTTTCTACTCCCATAAACACAATCCCGGAACCCCTGAAGGGGTCGCTGTGAGTCTGCACTAATTTGATAGCAGTGAGTTTGTTTGTTTTTTGGTTTGGGGTAGAAATAAAAATTCTCAGCAGGAAGTTGAACCAAGACAAACTAGTTTGAAGGCTTGGGAGAACACTTTAAAAAATCATTTTATTGGGGGCTCTTACAGCTCTTATCATAAGCCATCCATCCATCGTGTCAAGCACTTTTGTACATGTTGCCATCATCATTTTCTAAATTCTTTCTACTCGAGCCCTTGGTATCAGCTCATTTGTTCCCTTCCCTCCCTCATAAACCCTTGATTATAAATTATTATTTTCACATCTTACATCATCCGCTGTCTCCCTTCACCCATTTTTCTGTTGCTTGTCTCCCTGGCGGGCGGTGTGTGACAGGTAATCACTGTGATCGGCCCCCCTTTCTACTTCCACCTCCCCCCTGCTCTCATATATGGATGTTATGAGAGCTGTAAGAGCCCCCAGTAAAATGCTTTATTTTTTTTTAAAAAGCAAAGGAGAAAAAAAGTATTAAGCAGGAACTAAGAGGGAGGAACTACCTCTCCAGGCTTCTGAACATGCGACAGGAAAAATACACGCAAACAAAAGCTATGCTCTTGTGTAAACCCTTTGTAGTTGGGTTCTCAGTGAAGTTTTGGAGAAACTTCATCCTTATTCAGATCATGACTTACCAAATATGAAAAAGGAGTGTGAAGGGAAAGAGAAATAAAAATTCTACCTTTTTGGGTACACATCCGACATTCACCTGGAAAGAAAGAAAAAGAGGCATCCTTTAAGAACATTGAACTAAAACCATCAAACAAGCCTGTAGAAAATAAGACCCAAGCATGAAACCAAGGGCCCTCCTTGAGTTCCGGGTGACGGTGAAATGGTCTGCGGCTACTTCTCCTCTTCTAGAACTGGAAAAGATGAGCACCCCCACCCCGGCCTACAAGGTAAGAGAGGAGTCCCGGTGGCAGAGCTGGTTATGTTTGGGGCTGCCAACTACAAGGTCAACAGTTCAAAACCACCAGCCACTTCACCGTGCCCTATCGAGTTACTCTGAGTCCTAACTGACTCCATGGCACTGAGGTTTTGTTTGAGGAACACGCTAAAAAGTCAAGGCGACATGGGAATTAGGCAATTCTACGAATGCGAAAGGGTGTTTCCCAAATGATGAGAGCAAAGAGGAACGCGGTTTAATCCCTAGGGCAGTGTCTCTCAATCTTCCGAATGCCGCGACCCTTTGATACAGTTCCTCATTTTGTGGTGACCCCCTAACCATAAAAGTATTTTTGTTGCTACTTCATCACTGTCTTTTTGCCACTGTTACAATTTGGGGGACCCACAGGTTGAGAACTGCTGCCATAGGGGAAAATAATCCCAGTTTCAGGAGCCCTGGTGGCACTGTGAGCTAAGTATTGAGTTGCTAACTGCAAGGTCAGCTGTTCAAACTCACTAGCTCCTCTGAGAGAAAAAGATGAGGCTGTCTGCTTTCCATATAGATTTACACCCTTGGAAACCTTATTTTCTAGGATGAGAATTGACTTGATGAGTCTTTATCATTAGGCCTGCCTATTTCAGTTCATTTGGCAGATATGAATTGCCAAATTCTATATGGAAATCTTTAGTTGCTGCTTATGTTCACTAAAAGGCTTCGACTAGGATGGACTATAAAACTAGCTTCCACAAAAGTAGAGCCCATTTCAATATATTAAATATGCTCTGCTTGTCTATTGGTCAGTCACCTTCTGCAGACTCACGGGAGCCTTTAAGCCCATTTCAAGATGTCACAAAAAGCTCTGAAGGATGGGAACCCCTCTCTGATGATAAGATTCCCCACGTGTATACCTGAAGCTATTTTAAAGATATTTAGCACCAAAATCATGCATTTTTAATTAGAAATAGTGTCCTTGTTAAAATGGCCTGCTTTTCACTGGTACCAAGTATATGACTAATTTATGTTCCAGTGACATAGTGGTTACACATTGGCTGTTAACTGTGAGGTCAGCAGTTTGAAGCCAGCAGCCACTCCTTAGGAGGAAGACTGGGTTTTCTACTCCCCTAAAGTTACAATCTCGGAAGCTCCCAGAGGCAGTTCTACTATGTCCTATAGGGTCGCTACGAGGAGGCAGTGAGTTTGGGGCTGGTTTGGTATGGCACACTTTGGGTAGTGGGGCCATGGCTGAGAGGAAGCCAAGGACTCTGAAATAATCCTCCTTTGGTTTCGGCAGAGGCGCAGTGGTTAGGTGCTTGGCTGCCATCTGAAAGATCTGCAGGTGTTCTGCGGGAGAAAGATGTGGCAGTCTGCTTCCGTCAAGATTTACAGGCCTGGAAACTCTACGGGCGGTCAACTCTAAGACAATAGGGTTGGTTGGGCAGCACGTGAGAACAGGCCTCTAGGGGTTTCCACGGGCTTTAGGAATGTATCATCTGGAAACATGACTGGCTATCAGATGCATCTTGAACTTGGAAGGGGGAAACAACAATTAGTAAGCTACAAATCTGGGAAAGCCAGGAGTATAAGCTTGCATTCCGTATCATGTACAGTCATGTTCCACCCTCCCTGCTGCCGCTCCCCTTCCATTTCCCCATTCTCTACCTGGCATGTGACCTGGGCTGTCAAGCAGAGAGAGAGGCTGACAGCACTGTACGAGTTTGAAGCTCAACTCCCTCGTTTTACTACAGGACTCTGGCCAAGTTTCTTCATATCTCTGAGTCTAAAATAGGAACAATAATACCTGTAGTCTAGAGGTGTGGAAAATAGCTAACAAATTAGAGAGCACGCATTCTAATTTATGGCAGATCTGATGATGATACTGACACTTCTGCATTATTTCTGCAGTCTTGTGGTTTCCCACATACACAAAATCGACAGGGGATAAGACAAGAAATACATCCCCAAGCTGCTCCCTAATTGTGATCCTTGACTGCCAAGAAAACTTGTTTCCAAGACTGGGACATCAGTATCTTGGTGTCCTTAACATGCACCTAACTGAGGGAGCACTAGAGCTGACGAGAGAGTTGACCGCCCGTAGAGTTTCCAGGCCTGTAAGCTTGCTTCCTTCCCAAACTGATCATCAAGGACTGCTTCCGCCAACCAAAACGGAGTCAAGGATCCTTCCCTTCCGCTGGCCTGCCAGCCTCAGTTCACAGAGTGGAGGGCAGGAACCCTGCCCAGGAGGGAGAGAGCATGCAGAGTCTGGTGGTGAAATTCAGAGATTTCACCATTTTCATGCGTCCTGTCCTTTTAGCTTTGATTCTGCCTACATGGGTAAAAATGTCACATGGCCTACATGGGTGATAAAACATGAACTTCACTAATTTACAACTGCATCTGCCAAGACGGCCACCTGCGCTTCTTTTGCTCCCCCACCGCCAAGCCCCACCCCACTTTCTTGTCTCTAGTCTTCTGTCTTTGCTGCCTAACCTAGTCTGTGACTGGTACCAGGTAAAAGTGCCTCGAAATGGATTCGTCCTCATCGTTTACTCAACAAAACATTTGTCACCTCATTCTCTCAACAGATACATGCTCAGATCCTGCTTACATGCAAGGCCCTCTTCTAGGGCTTAGGACATACTGGTGACCAAAACTGAAAAAGAGGCCCATCTTCACTAGCTAAGATACTGTCTGGGTACCCCTTCAGTCTGCCCCAAACAAAACACAGCACCTCCAAGTCCATTCCAACTCATAGCTACCCAATATAGGATTTCTGAAGCTGTAAATCTTTACAAGAGCAGAGAGCCGCATCTTCATCCTCTGGAGGGGCTGCTGGGTTGAATCACTGACCTTCAGACTAGTTGTCCAAAACCCAACTTGTTCTGTTCCTGACACATATTAAATATTCAAAATCAAAATCCATCTTCAAAGGCTTTTTCATTTCCCATAATGATTAGCCCAGGGAGGCCTCTGGCTTGAGAAAGAAAGAACAAAGTGTTCTGTGCTAAGCAAAATCTTAAACAGATAAATGAACTGACTTATTTATATAAAGTAGGAGTGAAGGGGAAGGACATGGGTGGTCCTGTGGAAGGGCCGTGAAAAGTGAAAGATTATCAAGGAGATGGATTGACCCAGGGCTGCAACAATGGGCTCAAATAGAGCAACTGTGAGGCGGGCACGGCATCCGGCAGTGTTGTGTTCTGTTGCTGCACACAGGGCCACTGTGAGTGGAAACCGACTCAAAGGCACCCAGTGACAACGACGACGACATTTTAAAAGGCTGGAACTTTCCCTCTGAGGCACGCTGGACCCGATCTGGCTGTCAACATTTTCTGTATTTTTGCTTTGTTTTTAGTTTGTTCATATTAGGGTTTATCTCAGAGGTGTTATTTCATGATCCTTCAAGGGTCGCCCCTTGAAGCTGTGTTATATGCTTTTCTGTTTTTTGGCATATGAAACCCAGGATTGATGAAATTACAGGGACAGCAAGTAGAATAACATTTTCGGGATGTGTGTGTACAGTTATGGAGGAGGGGGTGTGTGTTAATGGGAGACAATGTGTTAATGGAGTCCAGGAAGAAAAAGAATGTTTGGAAACTGATTATGGTAACAATTGTACAATACTGCTTGTCGTGATTACACTATGGAATGATATATGTATTAACTCCAAATTAATAATTTTTTTAACTTGAAAAAAAGATTGGAACTAAAAATTTTAATGGGTCAATATTTGGCTAAATATTATATTAACACATTATATTAACTTAAACTGTTAATCCCAAGGATCCTCAAATGTTGAAAGTGTTACTCTGGGGCCTCCAGAAAGCCCCCAAAACAGCACTGTGACACAAAGCTCTTTGGGAACAGCCTTTAGCCCCGTCAGTTCTCCCAACCAGCTGTTATCCCTGCAGTGCATGTCTGGGCCTTCTTCCTCCCTCCCCTGATTGATCCAGGAAAGACACAAGAGGCCACATCCAATGGAATCTCTCAATGTAGGACACCGAGTGAATAAACTATTCTAGTTTTCTGTGAAATCCCGGTCTACACTAAAACAAACTCTGTGGCTACTTGTCCAAGTGCCTTTCACAAAGAAATAGACATACAGGGGGATCTGCAGCTTTAGGAGGTTTGACGGCAGATGGTAAAGCAATTCTCAGATTAAGACCATGATGAACAAAATTAACCAATCAAGGAAAATCAAGAGACTGTTTTCAACAATGCTAGGATTCCCTTTCTGGTCCCTCCTTTATTTGGCACTTACGAATACTTGGTGCCCCATTTTATGATACTCCAAACCCACCCAACATGATAGCATTTTCGGTCTAAAGGGACACCTGTCAACCCTAAAAGACCCGATGGCAGGTTCTTTTAAATTGTGAGCTCCTTTGAGTCCACGTGCATTTAAAAATGCATGTCCTGCCATAGGGATACGGGTATTACAATATCAAAGAACACTTTCTCAGTGCCAAGTTAGGTTATGATTTATATGTTGCTGGGTAATTGCTTTCTGCTTAGATTCCAATGATCTACTGGGCAGTTTCTTTTTCAGGCTGCCTCCCAACACCTGCCTCTCCCGTGGGCGACTCCAGCTGGCCCCGTGTAACACAGGTCACAGCTGACTTTCAAGATTAAGAAGGTCTTTGTCTAGATCAACGCTCATTGGTGAGACCTGCTTGCCAATCTCACAGGAACAAGGCCACACTTTATCAGGCAATCAGTCAGATTCAGCAAGAACACTGGAATAGGCGCTCCCACAGGCCCCTGGGACAAACGGAGCAGTAGGTCAGAGGAACTTACCCTCTGCGTAGGCTGAGAATCAAACAGCT